ACGCGACTTTTTTCTATTCTAAATTCAATTGAAGTCATATGTTTCACAACATAAAAAAGATCAACGATCGATTTTGTACATGTGATAAAACGAATGTCCACTATGCTTTAACTATATAGATATGAAAAAATTGTTTTAAATGATTGTATGGCTGAACAATGTACCACTAAAGAAAAGAAGAAAAGGTTTGTGATCTCATTGAGTTCTAAGTTAATATTACAAATTTTTTTTTCTTTTCATGTTGTAATCTCCTAACTTTACTAGATGTTCATGAATCATGTAATTTAAATAAATCTTTAGATAATCTTTATATAATAAATTTTTATTAATGAATGTAAATTGAATTGAAAAAAAAATTTTTTTTCATTAATCATTAAAATTAACCAAATACTTGACCAAATTGAATGAATGATCTTATACTCAGTAGGAAGCTAAAGACTCACTATTTAACATAATAACAAATTGCATATTGTTGTTTGTTGATAATTAAAAAAAAATCAACCAATTTACACTTATAATTGATAAATTAATATTTATTGTTAATATTCCAATTTTTGGAATAAATTTACAATTTTATATTCATTAGAAAGCTGAAGTTCCATCATCCATCATACTGAAAAATTACATATTGTTATTATGTAGACTTTAAAGATTGCCAACAATTTAAAACATCAACTGCTCATGTTAAAATTCTTTGATTTTTTTAAATTTTGATTAATTAATAAAAATACTGAACTGATTTGGGATGAAAATACCACTATTAATAATGGATTTTCGTGTGTTTTGTTTTAATCAAGTTGTATTTAACAAATAAAATGTTTTGTAAGAAAAAACATGCCCATTTTTATTTGCGACTTTATCAGTCACTCAATAATATTTCAGAACTATAAAATCTTATTCTCACATTCCGTTTTAATTTCACGTTTATAAGTTAATATAAATGGCATCATGGAAAAAATCCGGATTGCTTACTTAATTGTGCTGCTTTTATGAAATAAACTGAACATTTATGGAGTGATAAACATGATCACGGAGATATAATGGAAATATTCTGGAGTGTCATATTTTACAGGGTAAATATATATTGAAAGTCAAGAAACTCGTTCACCAACTCTACCCTCACAAGTTTCTTAAAGTAATGTTGTTAATAATGTTACGTAGCTAACGTTTTCAATCATTGGTGATAAATTTTTCGTTGGCAATTTTATTTCACTCATGGAAAAATCTTTAAATGGAAAGAATTTTAACTGCTAAAGAAAATAAAATAATTAAGAGTTTATTATAATGATAGAAAAAATCGTCCAATAAAAAAAATTTATTGATTATACAAATTGATCTATAAAAATCCGATTAAAGCAATTTTTGTTCATTTATTTCAAAGTATTTATAAATAAATAAACAAAATCTCGATCCCACAGATTAAGACATAGCATATATGCTGGCCAATTTATCTCAAGATATTTAGAAAAAAGTCAATTCTCCGAGATACTCTTTGTATTTCTGCAGATCAGAACAAAACATTCATGTTGTACAAAATAATTGTTGACAAAAAAAAAATAGTTGATAAAATAAAATTCAAGAAATGGACAAAAAAAATAAAAATAAAAATAAAGCAACGTCATCCAAACAAAGTTCTAATTCTTATAACTTATATGATGAGACATCATTACCATTGCCATTGCCAGAACCAGTAAGTAATTCAAAAGCACAAGCTTATTATTAATGAAAAGAATTGTACTATTATCGAAATATTACTCTACCAATAATTAGCGTCAGTTTAATTTTCTCTTGAATCTCAGTATTTAACGGAGTTAGTTGTTAAAGAATACCGACATTTAATTTTGTATTGTAATATAAAATTATTATTATGTAGAATTTTCTAGAATCAATAAGTCATTACGCTGGCTTTTATTATTCAAAAAATAATGAAATACCAGGAATCTATGAACAAATGGACGAGTCAGCTTTGTTGACAATAGGTAAGTTTGTAAATTATGATAATAAAAATATATTGATATTATTATTAATATTAATAATATACTGCTGTAAATTTTTTAGGTATATTGTTACAAGAATATACTAAAAAATTGATTATGGATAAAAAGATATTGATAGATAAGAAAAAGAGAATAAATAACAAAATTTGATAAGATTTAAATAATTAATAATGTTATTATTATGATGGTGATTACAAAATCATTTTATGACCCATTTTTGTTATTAACAAAGAAATTCTCTATTTCATTAACTCAAAAATAAAAAAATAATTTTATCATGAAACAAATCTAAATACTCTTTAAGTGATCACTATTATAATTCAAATGGGAAAGCAAAATTGAATATTTTTTGAAATAATGTAAAGCATATAATTTTCTAAAAAGATTTGCTGAAAGTGCAGGAAATGATTTTATTGAAACAACAAAAATTACTGGAAGAAGATCTGAATAATGGATCCCTAAAGCACATCTACAGAAGAATTTAAGAAATTGATAGATATATTTATTATTTACTTATTATTATTATCATTTTATAGATTTTGAATGAAGGAAACTTGTGAGTTTATAATGTGTGTAATTGGAAAATTTGCACATTATACAAGAGTTAAAACCATAATCATCACAATCTTGTGTAAAACACACATACACTCACATGCTGGGATCTACTTTAGATGATATTATTTAACCTTTTTGAAATAAAATATATGTTCTTTTCTCTAAACCACCATTCCAAGATTCAACATCATTTTTTTCACTTTTTCATTTCATTATAATCATCCTCATCCTCCTTATCATCAGTACACTTGATAATAGATTTCCTGATAAATTTTCTTGGAGCATCAATTTTTTTGCCATTGCATTTTTCTATACTTTTCTTATAGTTTTCTCTTACATATATCCAATTTGATTATTAATTTAGATCATATATTAATATGAAAATCTGTCATAAACAAGAACCCCAACTGTGTTCATAAAATCACTAGAAGATAAATTGACAGAGCTTCAGAGGAAATAGCCTTTCTTTTTTAACAAGAACTAAACAAATATAACTACTTTACAAAAGAACGTGTTTTAGGGTCAAAGTCAATAAAACTTTAGTAAGTCCAGTGCAAAGAAAAATTAGTGATGGGACACTTGAAAAGGACAAGGTACAGGCCAAATTTGCAGATCCCTGTTCCCTGTCCTTTTCATGTGCCCCGCATCTCTTTGATTACACCAATTTTGTTGTTTTTTTTTAAAAAAAATTGATGTGTTCAATTTTGTGCGACTAATTTTTTAACAACAATGAAATATCAAGGTTATGTTGGTAAGTGTTGCCAAGAGAAATCAGCTTATGATTTAAATATTTCTTTTAGATTCTAATAAATTCTCTCAGCGCTAGTTTCCTACTTAAAGCAACAAAAAGGCTGTTTGTATTATGAGTTTTTAAATGCACATTGTGATGTAATAGTTGCTTCATATCCATTTCCAGATGATTGGTGGGCCTTGATGGAATATGGTATAAATGATTTTTGAAAGAATTAAAAGAAATTTATAAAGATAACTTTTCAGCTGTGAAAAAAAGATTTTAGTATTTTTTATTTAGCTGAAGAGCACTTCTGGTCAGGTCCTGCCTGGGTTCCACCATTGTGACTAGATTTTCTTGTTTTGTATTTAATAATAAGATTGGATCATTATTTATAATTTTACATTTGAGTTTCCTTGTAGAATGATGATGAATGGAACAGGCTTGATTTTCAATGTTATTGGGAAGAAATATTGGAAGAAAGAAAAAAAAGTAAGAAATTACAAATTCTTATATTACACAAAAATGTGATATAATTATACAAGCATTCTCTTATATAGTAAAAAGATTAAATAAAAAGTTTGGAATTGCTCAAAAGTGGTAAGTTAAGCATATTTTTTGTTTTTTGTGGTTTTAACCTTTTTCAAACTTGTTTATATTTTACCTGCATGAGGGGGAATCTTTTTGTTCATTAAGCAAATCAATAAAACATACTAAAGGGCAAAGATGTGATGCTAGATTTTTGACCTCATCTGGTATAGACCTGGGGGGATGGGAGTTTGCTGTGAAAACTACACTAGATAAAGTTATTAAAGATTGTTGTCATTCATCAAGAATAAATCAATCAATCATGAATGGATTGCTTCGTCTTAATTTAACAAATGAACAAGCAAGTCAAATAAAAATTCCTTTTGTACAAATTGCTGGAACCAATGGTCAGATGCTATTAGAAGTGTTGCTCAATGGATTTTATTTAATAGTGCCTAGTCCAAAATTTCAGATCCCAACTAAAATAGATCAAATAGTCAAGTTAAGGCAAACTGTAAGGGTTGTTCAGCATGTTATGGTAAGAATCATTATTTTTTATTACCTTTTTTTTTGTCATCAAGAATATCCCAATTCAACTGTTTGCACAGAGTATGTATGGCAAAACAAAATGCATTAGTAAATAGTCTAGCAGTTGGATGTTATGAATTTGACGAAGTTTTCAATATCCCTCTTACAAATGTTCATTCCAAGTCATGTTACATCAACAAACCATGGTGGACCTAATGCGATTTATATTTACTTAATTATGTTGAAATCAAATCATTTGTGTATATCATATTATAACAGAAAGAACGAATGAGATGAGTTGGATAACCAATTTTTGAGGTGAAGGAATTAGGAAGATTTAATTAACATATATGGATAATTAGGATGACAAATTGGCTTACAAAATAAAAAGAATTATATATAAAGCATATACAAATATTTGGCATTCATTACTCGCTTGTATAGTAATAATAATAAATTTACGTTTTAAAAGCTAAAAAATTTATGCAAAAGCAATTTTTATTAATTAATTGCCGATCCTTTTATAATCGGCAGAAAATTTCCAATTTTCAATAAGAAATTTGGGGATAAGTTCAAATATAA